TATCTCAGTCTGTTCATTATCGATCTATCTATCTCAGTCTGTTCATTATCTATCTATCTATCTATCTATCTATCTATCTATCTATCTATCTCAGTCTGTTCATATCTATCTATCTATCTATCTATCTATCTATCTATCTCAGCCTCTTCCTATGATAGTATATATATACATGCGTGTTTATCGTTGCTTAGAAATCATTTATGTAAACATTGGCAGAATATCATCACTGTCGTGTCCGTATATTGCTTAATATGTTGTAATTGGCATCTTTGATAATGGCTTAAGTAAGCCGAAAGCTTAGATTATATTAAAAAAATATGGATCAATATTGTGAATTTCTTTCTTCGTTCAACGATAATGTTATTAAACTTATCAGATGTTACGAAAAAATTTACATAAAATAAATAGACAACACTTGTCTATATTATTTAATGAAACGTGTATAAATGAAAATATGCTGTTAAAATACACACAATATATATATATATATATATATATATATATATATATATATATATATATGAAAAAATAGAAAACGTTTATCAATCTAATATGTTTCTCTTTTATTAAAGCTTCATCCGATAATAAGTTCATTCTCGGAAGAAACTTTTATGTGTGTGTGTGTGTGTGTGTGTGTGTGTGTGTGTGTGTGTGTGTGTGTGTGTGTGTGTGTGTGTGAGTGAGAGTGAGCTAGTATGGCTATAGGGCCGCTGCAAATCTGAGCTCTGACCGGCTTCCTACGCCCCTCTCCGTTAAGTCTCAATGTCCGAGTCTCTCTGAAGCATCCTTCGGTCCTCTTAATGAGGTTTCTCAGTTTATCTCTTTCTTTCCTAAAGATGGTACCTTTTTCCATAGTTGAAGAATAATCGTTAGTTCTTATTTTTTTTCTCTTTGTAACGCATTACCATCTTTACTTTATTTTACTCGCCGACCCATGAAAGAAAACACTGAGCTAATGTTTCAAAATCAAATGCCCATATGGACACAGTAAGTTTTGTTTTTTTTAACATGTTGAAAGAAGCGCAGATTAGAAGTATGAAATTAAAAGTATCTCTATAAATTATTTTAACAATCGTAAATTATGAAAAATTGTACTAAAATATTAAAATGGTCTGATCACTTAAAAAATCAGTAAAAATGGTAACAGTATTTTTTTTTTTTAGTTAGAATGTTCGGTTTTTTGAAAATATTTATTAAAAGTTGCTAAAATTTGCTGAAAATTGGATATCGTGATTTCCTAAGTGTAGCTTTGATGTGACAAAATAAGGCAGGTTGATTTTTCACATATTTAGAAGATTCACATAGCACTCGATGTGAAAGCTGAGGTTTCATGTGATACGTATTGACACCATAATTTACTTTCGTACCAGTCTTTAAGCATTTAGTTTTAAAAATCATCTGAACAAAATGTACAGAAATACTTAATTTCCGAAGGTTTTTGCTCACAAACTGACTTCAAAATTTTAATATTTCAAGAATAAATCCAAATAAATTTCATTTATCTTTTATTAGTGTTATGGTCCAGGTTAGGACCAAGGAAGAACAACACGAACACAAGAGTAGAAATAACAAAGGTATATTACACGAAATAATAATACAAGATGTGGAAGGTGTTAGTATGACTGTCAGTCTGGTTTGGAGTGAACTCCTATCGACTCGACTCGATTCGTCCCTCTCTGTTGAGAGGCGTAGTATACATAGTGTTAGGAAGAGTTCATTCTGTAGTTAAGGACCCAATTCGATACATTGAATGGAAAAACGGAAAATATATATTCGAAGCAGAATTCTAATTATGAATCACGACAAGCAAAATGTGCTACTTTTTTTTTACTGTATTCGATAAGCAGGAACTGTCTAAACAAATTGTAAAATATTACAAAAAAAGGCTACTCAATGAATAAGATTTGTTACATCATTATTATACAACCAAGCAGAGAGGTATACGAGTGACCAACTATAATGCTGAGAGCAGAAAATATGACATCATCAGCAGTTTTAACGATGCCATTACTCTGAAACCCTCCGTCACGATTACTTGTAACTTCATGCTAGCACACCACTTTGCATGGACACATGGGAATGCTGAAATTTCAAAATTCATATATACAGAGGGAGCACGGTGGAGTAGTGGATAGCGGCTCGGATTGAGGAATCGGAAAGCCGAGTTCGAATTCCATTCAAATCCATTACAATCACTTACTAATAGCCCTGAGAAAGGTAATCCTCTTCTTTTTTTTCTCCAGCTGTAGTTATGTAGCAAGACAGACTGGTTTCTATTTGACCGTCTTGGATGGCAACTGGTCTCAATTCAAAACCTGCGGAGGGTCGTTTGAGGCCGGGTAGTACACCAGGTCTCTGTATTCGGCTCTTCAAAAAGTGTGGTTAGTTCTGCTCAAAGCCTTCATCACTATAATCAAATCATATCTGCTGGTGTCTGGACTGTCGGTTCCTAGGAACTGAGCCGCTTGACCCTTATACGTCGAACACACACACATATATATATATGTTTTTCATATTCATTTTGTAAATGTTGACCTGCTTTTCATGAATGTATAGGTAGATATTGGTCTTGTCTATTAAAAATTAATAAAAGCAATAAGTAGATAAAAGTGTATATGACACCATATGCTGGGCATAAATTATGAGACAAACATTTTAAATTTCCTTGTTTATTGAAAATTACACTAAAACCACTGCATTGTATAGCATATTAAATTATTATATAGCTAAATTGTTCATTGTAATTTCCCTTTGATGGAAAAATGATTTAGTAATAATGTGTTTGCTCTTTGTCTATATAGAAGTTGTAAAGATTCAGTAAATTACACATTTTATAAGGCTGGGCTATAAGGTTTTCACTGATCACCGGAATGAAATTTCACCGTTACAATTTTAACTCTAGACATCATCTTTAAACTCGTTTCCTTAAAAAACGATCTGGTTAAATATTTTATGTTATTATTTATCATGTGAAACCACAACTTTAAAATTGAGTGCAATGCCACGGTTCCAAATTTGGCCTGCTCTAGTCAAATAAAGCAGAAACAATTCACTATTCAATCTAGCGGGAAAAGCTTCCTATTACATCACGTCAAAGTGCCCACTGAAAAATAGATACGATTTCAGTACGTTAGTAATTTTTTCATTGTCATTTTGAAATCTTTCTTTAAAAAATAATTTCTTTTCTAAAATTATTAACGATAGAGAATAAATAAAGTGGATACAACTCACTTACAAGATTTGTTTAACAGAAATAACTGAATATTTTTTCAGTATTAACAAGAAAATTTGTGTTAGAGTTGGTGGATTTTACGAGATATCAACACTTGTTGAGTTAATTTATGTCTAAATGTATTTTTTTTTTATTATACTTGAACCTATAGGTAAGTAATTTCCTTCTTTATACATGATTATATAGGTATACATTGATCGAGATTACACTTGAATCTGTAGGTAAGCATTGGTTAACATGAGTCTATAGGTAAATATTGGTCGGGTTTATACAGGAGATTATAAGTAAATACTGGTCGTCTTTATATTCAAGTCTATAGGTAATTAGATGTGTTTATACACGAGTCTGTAGGTAATCATTGGTCGGGTTTACACTTGAGTCTATAGGTAAACATTGGTCTGGTTTATACAGGAGATTATAAGTAAATACTGGTCGTTTTTATATTCAAGTCTATAGGTAATTAGATGTGTTTATACACGAGTCTGTAGGCAATCATTGGTCGGGTTTACACTTGAGTCTATAGGTAAACATTGGTCTGGTTTATACATGAAATTATAAGTAAATACTGGTCGTTTTTATATTCAAGTCTATAGGTAATTAGATGTGTTTATACACGAGTCTGTAGGTAAGCATTAGTCGGATTTACAGTTGAGTCTATAGGTAAACATTGGTCGTGTTTATACTTGAGTCTATAGGTAAACACTAGTCGAATTCATACTTGAGCGAGTAGGTAAACATTGGTCGTACTTATACTTGAGTATATAGGTAAACACTGGTCGTATTTATACTTGTGTATATATGTAAACATTGTTCGTGCTTATTCTTGAGGGTACACTCGCTGAAACGTTGTGATAATAAAAACAAAGATGACAATAATATTCCCAATAAATAAAAATAATACATTGAATTCATAATATGGAAAATGATGCAACCGTTTAGTTCTTTTTCTGCGAGCAAGGGATATTGGAAAAGAGAAAGATATGAAGAGAAATATGAAGGAAAGATAGAGACGGATAGAACAAAATAGATAGGGATAAAGAAATAGGTAAGGAGAGTGGGAAGTAAATAAAGAGGCGAGAAAAAGAGGAAGATATAGGAAGTGTAAAAGGAAAATTTGCAGATTAAGCCCCGGGAACCAAATGTAATGTAAATTTCCATTCTGATGTAAACCTGCATGCTTATTAAAAAAAAAAAATAACAATAAAAGTTTACGGAAGAAAACAGTTTATGATTTATCGACAATAAAATTTCGGTCTCATTCGCGTTGCGGTTACAGCCCGGTCGTCATTACTGGCTTTGTTTACATACGTTTATCTCGAGCAGTAATGCGCGGAAGCTTCACTTGACTTGATTACTGCGCAATGTGCGAACTTTAAATTAAATTTCGAGAATTGCGTAGTAATCAAAACGAGTAAGAAGATAAGAAGATCAGCAAAATGACGTTAACTAAGTAAACTTCCGCGCATTACTACTCGAGACAGACGTACGCAAACAACGCCAGTAATGGTGGCTGGGATAGACGAGAATGAAGCCGAACTTATATTGTCGATAACTCCTAAAAGGTTTTCTTCCGCAAACTTTTATTGTTATTTTGGAATTAATCAGGCAATTTCACAGCAGAATGGAAATTTTCATTACAATTGGTTTCCGGGCTTTAATCTGCAAATTTATCATCTAAAAATGAGAGATGAAGACAAGTGGGAGTAGTTGAGGTGATGAGAGATGGGAAGAAAGAGAGGAGATAAAGCGAAGGAAACCAAGAGAAAAG